ACCCTGAAATTATGACCTGAGCTGAAAGCAGATGCTTAACGACTGGGCCACCCAGATGCCCCTCTTTTTTTTTAAGATTCTGTTTTTAAGTAATCTCTACAACCAAAGTGGGGCTCAGACTCATGACCCTGAGATCAAGAGTCACATGGTCTATCAACTTAGCCAGCCAGGCACCCTTCTCTGCTAGTCTTTTTTTTCACATAAATATTGATGGATACCTTTTATTTTTTTACAAAATTTTACTTTTATCTTCATAAAATTTTGCTACAATTACCTTTTCATGATTGCATAAGGCTTTTCTATGAGACATTTAGATTACTTCCTTTTTATTTTTGTCGTTATTCAAAATGTCCTTCTTGATTATTTCCTGGAAGTCCAATCATAGGCACAGAGGCACCTGGGTGGCTCAGTCGTTAGGTGTCTGCCTTCAGCTCAGGTCAAGATCCCAGAGTCCTGGGATCGAGCCCCGCAGCAGGCTCCCTGCTCTGCAGAGAGCCTGCTTCTCCCTCTCCCACTCCCCCTGCTTGTGTTCTCTCTCTCGCTGTCTCTCTGTCAAATAAATAAATTAAATTAAAAAAATAAAATAGTGTAACCCTTTCCATTAAAAAAAAAAACAACTATGGGGACAAAAAAAGGTGAACATTTTAAAACATCTTGAGAGTCTTTTCCATGTTCTTCATAGTTCTTCGAAATAGCCGGGCAATCTCATTGCTGTTATATTTACTTAGTTGTTCCTCTGTTCCTCTAAGGTTGAACATTGATACCAGCAATTCTTAACAGAGGTGATTTTGTCCCCTAAGGAATATTGGGAATATTTAGAGACATTTTCAGTTGTTACAATTGTTGAGGGGTATTATTGGCATCTAGTGGGTAGAAGCCAGGGATTCTGCTAAACATCCTGCAACGTACAGGACAGCTCTCACAACATAGAATTTTCTGGTCCAAAATGTCAATAGTGTGGAGATTGATAAATTTTTGTTGTTGTGTTATATATAGCACATACCAAAATATACCATTTTTGTTTTGAAGTTATTTGAAATAAATTTTTTTTTTTAAGATTTTAATAAATTTATTTATTTGAGAGAGGGCAGAGTGAGAGTGAGAGCACAGGCAGGGGGAGTTGCAGAAGCAGAATCCCTGCTGAGCATGGAGTGGGGCTCGATCCCAGGACCCTGGGATCATGACCTGAGCCAAAGGCAGACACTTAAATGACTGAGCCACTCAGGCGCCCCTGAAATAAATTTTCAAGAGAGGACTTACAGGGTCAAAGTACATAAATATTTGTATGCTTCTCTCTCTCTTTTTTTTTTTAGGGAGAAAGAGTGTGTGCTCAAGTGGGGGGAAGGGCAGAGGGAGAATGTTAAGCAGGTTCCATGCTCCAGGAGATCATGACCTGAGCTGAAATCAAGAGCTGGGCGCTCAACCAACTGAGCCACCCAGGCACCCCTCTATGTTTCTTGATAATAGATTTCTTTCTTTCTTTCTTTTTCAAGATTCTATTTATTTATTTAACAGAGAGAGAGAGTACAAGTAGGCGGAGTGGCAGGGAGAGGGAGAAGCAGCTGCCTGCTGAGCAGAGATCCCGATGCGGGCCTCAATCCCAGGGCCCTGGGATCATGACCTGAGCCGAAGGCAGAAGCTTAACGACTGAGCCACCCAGGCGCCCCTCTTGATTATAGATTTCTACTTTGTTTCCAAAATAGTTACGTTGCTTGATATATGTATTTATTTCTCTGCAGGCTAGGGAGATTTGAATTTACTAGGATGCATTAAATGCATCCCCTTAGCACTTTATATAGGCCACATCTAGAGATGTGCTAGAGCACAATTCTTCTGGCTTGATCTGAGAATGATTCTTAGTTTGACTTTGGAGTGACTGAAAGTGATTTCTGGTTTGACTTTTGGGCAATAATTATGTTTCGTTTTAGGAGATTTTTATTTGATTCCAGAAGTATTTTATTCTGTCTTCCTTGGGTTCTGATATACCTCAGGTTGAAATTTCTCTTGCATGATTGAAGACTCTTCAGTATAGATACAGGAATTCAGGAGTTAAACCAACCAATATAAGGAGAGGAGGAGCCTATGGAAGACAAGACAAAAAGATTTGTATACTGATTGTTTTTCCAAAAGTATTCGTTTATGATTATACGTAAGAAAAAGAGGATTTATAAACTATGTAATTGAAACCTCATTCTTGGAAGTATATCGAGAGGGACTAGAAGAAAAAGGTCCATAGATAGAATAATAATAACTCTATTAGCTTTAGTTTCCTTTTAAAAAAAAGTAAACGTATTTGAACAATTATGTAAAGTTGCTGGTGTGTAGTGCTCTTAGACCAAAGTATGTTTCTTTTTTTTTAAGATTTTATTTATTCATTTGAGAGAGAGAGAGCACTCAAGAGCAGGGGGAGGGGCAGAGGGAGAGAGAGAGAAGCAGACTCCCCGCCAAGCAGGGAGCCTGACATGGGGCTGGATCCCAGGACCCTGAGATCATGATCTGAGCTGAAAGCAGATGCCCAACTAACTGAGCCACCCAGGCGCCCCCAAAATATGTTTCTAATACTTTTTCCTAGTATTCCCAGAATACTTATTCCCAGACCTAGTATTACCTAGTCCAAGGTCAGACAATTTCAATGCTTCTTCAAATGAGGGTCTTTTTTTTTTTTTTAATCTTTAAGTAATCACTACACCCAACATGGGGCTTGAACTCACAGCCCCAAGATCAAGAGCCACATGCTCTACTGACTAAGCCAGCCAGGCGCCCTTCAAATGAATTTTAAAATATCAAGAAACTGGGGCACCTGTGTGGCTCAGTCGTTGGGTGTCTGCCTTTGGCTTGGGTCATGATCCCAGGGTCCTGGAATTGAGCCCTGCATCGGGCTCCCTGCTCTTTGGGAAGCCTGCTTCTCCCTCTCCCACTCCCCCTGCTTGTGCTCCTGCTCTCGCTATCTCTGTCTCTATCAAATAAATAATAAAATCTTAAAAAAAAGTATGTTCTTTTAAAAAAAAATCAAGAAACTGTAGTACTAAAATTTTCCAAGGTCTTTGTCATTCAAATAGTTTTTTCTCAGGTCTCCCTTTGAGAAAGGTGGTTTTTCTTTTTGGTCTTTCATCCTGTTTTTAAGATTTTATTTATTTGAGACAGAGAGAGACAGAGAGAGAGAGCATCAGCAGTGTGGGGGGGAAGGACAGAGGAAGAGGGACAAGCAGACTCCCAGCTGAGCAGGGAGCCTGACTTAGGGCTCGATCTCAGGACCCTGGGATCATGACCCAAGCCGAAGGCAGACACTTAACCGACTGAGCCACCCAGGCGCCCCTTTATTATTATTTTTAATTAATTTTATTTTTTGAGAGAAAGTAGCGGGGGCGAGACAGAGGGAAAGGGAGAGAATCTTAAGTAGGCTCCATGCTAAGTGCAGAGCCCCACTTGGGGCTTGATCTCAAGACCTAGATCATGACCTGAGCCAAAATCAAGAGTACGGCACTTAACCCACTGCCACCCAGGTGCCCCAAGATTTTATTTTTAAGTAATCTCTATACCCAATGTGATCAAGAGTCACATGCTCAAAAAAACAAAAAACAAAGGGTTGCATGCTTTACTGACTTAGCCAGCCAGGCACCCCGAATGTTCATTTTACTTTCAGAAAATATTAGGCCTCTTTTTACTCCCTGGAAAATGGACATGAATGCTTTCCTCATACTTCATAGTCACACACCATTCGTGTTAGAAACATTCAGATCAGTGAAACTGTGAAACATCTGGAAAATGCATTAAGACATAGATGGTAGAACAGTGTGGAATTTTGTGCAAAACTGCATTAAAGTTCATCCTATGGATAGCTGTCTTCAGAGACAAAGATTTGGATGAAATTGTGATAGCCGCAAGAATTTTTCTTCTTTGCTTCACAGATTCTGTACCTCAAAAGAACGAACTATTGGGGTGACAGGATTTTCCTAACCACTCCAAGTTATCTTTTTCTACCAATTCAAATAGGCCGTTCAGAAGAACCTCAGGGAAGGGAGAGTTTTGAAATTATGTCTTGTTTTCAGATCAAATTTCTTTTCTAAATAAAAGCAGCTGCTACACTTCCAGGCAGTATTTCCTAAGACTTATCTTTAAATTTCGAATTATCTTCAATTCGTTCGAAAAGTTGCTTATTCGTTAATTTAGAAACAGTCGTATTTTCTTCCCTGTATGCGTATGTATTTGCAAATACGGCATTTACAAAATAAATTACTCCTTTAAGTTATTGGAACACTTCTCAGTTTTACATAACAAGGTCTGGGATTCCCTGATTTAAGTCCCCTTTTCTGCTTTGCTTTGGTGAGATAACAAACTAGTATTTGTATTTAATTAAGCAAGCCCAGCTGTCTCGATTTCACAGTTGTTTCCGCCGCTTTAATTTTGTCTGCGTGCCTTTTGAGCGTTTTGGGGTGGGCGGGGCGGCGACCGCCTTCATAAACCAGCCCGGTAGACCGATGGGGATTGGGCAAAGCCTGGATACCGTTCAGAGAAGCAGCTGCGACGACGTTAACTTGCAGACCACACAGGGGCGAGAACGGCCAGAGTCCAGAGATACCATAAGCTCGCTCACCCCGGGGCCAGGCCCTGCACTCGCCTCAGAGCAGCCGCCCCATCTCGCGCACGCGCAACCGCATCGCCGCGGCTCCCGCCGTCTCCGGGGGCCTTTTCCCTGGCCGGCGCGGAGCTGTCCGCGGCGGCGCCTGACCTGGTTGAAGGGTTATTGTGAGGACAGGCTGCTCTGGCTCTGTTTTCCCTGTCGTGTTGTCGCCGGCCAGGAAGGAGGGACATGTGTAGAGTGTCGCAGGGGGAGGATCGTGGCCGAGAGGAGAGGACCCTGTAGCGATGGGCGTTTGGGCCTGCAGGCAGTGCAGGAGGCGCTCCGGAGGGGGTCCTCTCTCGCAGCCGGCTGTGAGCGGGAGGCCTGAGCCGGGAGCATTGGCGGCCGTGCAAGTTCCAGGGCACTGAGGCGAGGCGGTATGGAGGAACTCGACGGCGAGCCGACCGTCACTGTAAGCGCACCCGCAACGGTCTTGCCTTCGCGGTCCGATGATTGTGTCTGCTTAGTCACTGTAGGCTTGTCTGCCTCCCGCAAGGCTCCTGGCTCCCTCCCTAGCTCAGTTGCCACGGTTCGGAGGTTCCATTAGCTAGGTGCTCGTGTTTGGGTCGCAGTAGTGGTCGCTAGCTTTCTACTCTTTTTTGGATATTCAGAAATGCCTGGCTCGGAGGCCTCACTCCTCGCTCCATTCCTCACCCTCTCTTGTCTTCCCGACTTTCCCATCCCACTTCCCTCGCTTTTCCTGTTGGACTAGTGCTCTAGTGAGCGGGCTCCGACCAAGCAGAGGTCGAAGGAGCTTTTGTCTTCCGCAGATCTAAGCTTCATATCGCAACACCGTGAGCTTGGGTTCTGCTTCTTGTGCCGTGCTGGTCCAAGATTTACTAAAAGTACTTATTCTCGGAGACTTCTTGTTCGTATTGCTCTGTTTGCTTTCAGTCCTGTCTGGACTTTCGAGTGTCAGATGTGAATGATCTATAATGTTCGTAAAGAGATTCGTGGCTTTTAGATACAAGATACCTACCGATCCTCCTGCCTGGAACACTCTTTTTCTCTCGGGTTTATCTCCTCATTTTTCAAATGCAAGAACCAGCACCCTCTTTCTCAGGAAAGCCTTCCCTTACCTAGGGCAAATATTTCTGTCCATTATTGGCTTGTTCTGCACCTCTTAGCTCTTGGTAAGTTGTAAGCTTCACTAAACTGCAGGTTGCCTGATCGTATATTTATTGCTTTTGAGAAAGTTGAGATGCCTGCAGTTTTCAGCTAAAGACATCAGATGGAAAAGCAGTGTTTGACAAAACCAGAGATTAAAGGTGAGGGTCAGGGACGCCTGGGTGGCTCAGTCGGTTAGGCGTCTGCCTTCGGCTCAGGTCATGATCCCAGTGTCCTGGGATCGAGTCCTGCATCAGGCTCCTTGCTCAGCAGGGAGCCTGCTTGTACCCTTGCTCTCTCTCTTGCCCACGCTCTCTGTCTCTCTAACAAGTACATAAAATCTTTAAAAAAAATAAAGATGAGGGTCATTTCAAAGCCAACTGGACAAAATGAGACATGAGATCGTAAATAGCAGTTAATGTGGGTTGTTACTCTATAAAACTTACTACTGTAGAGTGTTAATTTTTTAAGACCTATATGAATTACTTTAAATATTATGTATCAAGGACTGTGTCAGTGTCAGTGACAAGAAAAATTAGAATATCAGAATCACTGGAGCTTTTTCAAACTACACATCATCTTGCCTTTCCCTCCTCCATTTATGTCAGAATCTTTCGATGGGGGCATCTTTCCAGTAACCTGCACAGCCCTGGGGAGTCACTACTTTGATATTGAGCCATGATAATTAGCCTTTTACAAATTGAATGAAGATGATCTAAGCATATTTTTAACACCAGTAGTGGTGATGGACTTTTGATAGCTCAGCTCCACGTTGGTGTTGGGGAGACCAGGTAGGAAACTGATTGACTTTGTTGACACAGCCTTACAGAGAGGCGTTTTCTTGATAGAACTCCAGTCTAGTGTCTAAACCTCAACTATGCAAGTTCAAACTCAGTCATGTCTGTATTTGAGAGGTAATCTGTTCTTTGAGCTTACTCTAAGCACACCCTCAAGAGATTGATGAATAATCCTGAATATCATCAAGTCGCCTTTTATGGCAGCTGTGTCTGCTCTTACACAATTGCTTCCTATCATTAAGGCACACAAAAGCCAGTTAGTAATCAGATTTAAGGATGTTTACATATAGATTCAAAGTAGAGGGTAGAATAATCTTTTTTTAATTAAAAAAATAATTTTTTTAAAAGATTTTATTTATTTGACAGACAGCGAGAGAGGGAACACAAGCAGGGGGAGTGGGAGAGGGAGAAGCAGGCCTCCCGCCGAGCAGGGAGCCCGATGCGGGGCTCGATCCCGGGACCCTGGGATCAAGACCCAAGCCAAAGGCAGACGCTTAACGACTGAGCCACCCAGGCGCCTCTAAAAATTTATTTTTATAAAAGATTTTATTTATTTGACAGAGAGAGCACAAGCAGGGGAAGCAGCTGGCAGAGGGAGAGGGAGAAGCAGGCTCCCCACTGAGCAGGGAGCCTGACAAATGGCTCGACCCTAGAACCCTGGGATCATGACCTGAGCAAAGGCAGCCACTTAACTGACTGAGCCACCCAGGTGCCCCTAAGTTATAGTTTTTGTTGCCTGTTTTGTTTTGTTTCTTCTAAGATAAATACCTAGAAGTAGATTTGCTGGGTTATAGGACAGATTCATATTTAAAATAAACTGTTGGACGCCTGGGTGGCTAAGATGGTTAAGCGTCTGCCTTCAGCTCGGGTCATGATCCCAGGGTCCTGGGATCGTGTCCCGCATCGGGCTCCCTGCTCCTCGGGAGCCTGCTTCTCCCTCTGCTTCTCTCTCTCTCTCTCCCTCTGGCTCTCATGAATGAATAAATAAAATATTTAAAAAAAATAAACTGTCATTTGTCCAAATACCGTTTTTGCACCGGCCAAGTGTGAGAGTTCCATTTGTTCCATATCTTCATCAACTCTTTGTATGGTCAGTCTTTTTAAGTTTTAGCCATTGCCATTCTGGTGGGTATATAGTGATAGCTCATTATCACTTTGATTTGTATTTCCCTAATGATGAAAGATACTGAGCATCTTTTTATGTGCTTATATGTTATATGCATATATCTTCTTTGGTGATATGGCTGTTAAAATTTTTTGCCCATTTTGTTATTGGGTTATTTATTATGAATGAATTGTAAGAGTTCTTTATATATTCTAGATATCAAAACAATTTTGCAGATATTTTCCCAGTCTGTGGCTTGCCTTTTCATTTTCTTTTTTTTTAAAGATTTTCTTTATTTATTTGAGAGAGAGAGAATGAGAGACAGAGAGCATGAGAGGGAGGAGAGTCAGAGGGAGAAGCAGAATCCCTGCTGAGCAGGGACCCCCCCTGATGTGGGACTCGATCCCGGGACTCCAGGATCCTGACCTGAGCCGAAGGCAGTCGCTTAACCAACTGAGCCACCCAGGCGCCCTTACCTTTTCATTTTCTTAATAATATCTTTTGAAGGGGCACCTGGGTGGCTCAGTCGTTAGGCATCTGCCTTCGGCTCGGGTCATGGTCTCAGGGTCCTGGGATCTAGCCCCACATCGGGCTCCCTGCTCCGTGGGGGGGCCTGCTTCTCCCTCTCCCACTCGCCCTGCTTGTGTTCCCTCTCTCGCTGTGTCTCTCTCTGTTAAATGAATAAATAAAATCTTTAAAAAAATTAAAAAATTAAAAAAAAATATCTTTTGAAGAACAAAAGTTTAATTTTGATGAAGTCCCAATTTATAAGTTGTTCTGTAGTTTGCACTTTTTGTGTCCTATCTTTGCTTACATTAAGATCAAAAAGATTTTCTACTATGCTTTTCAAATTTTACAGATTTTTCTCTACATTTGTGTCTAAGTTTTATATTGTCTATGGTGTGAAGTTTATTTTCTGCTATGGATACCCATTTGCTTCAGTACCACTGTGTATAACACTTCCCCCTTGCGTGGCCTATTCATCCATTAAGAGTCTGCTAAAACATCCTCTTTTGTGTTTATCTCTGCCTTAACATTTCTCCATTTTTCTTTTTTTTTTTTTTTAAAGATTTTATTTATTTGACAGAGAGAGCGAGCGAGAGCAGGAACACAAGCAGGGAGAGGGAGAAGCAGGCCTCCTGCTGAGCAGGGAGCCCGATGCGGGGCTCGATCCCTCATGACCTGAGCCGAAGGCAGATGCCCAACGACTGAGCCACCCAGGCGCCCCTCCACTTTTCTTATTGCCTTTTTTTATTGGACTTCCTCAGTAGACTGCTAGCTTTTGGAGGGCAGAAACTGTATTATACATTGTTGTATTTCTAGAGCACAGTACAGAAAAAGGCTTACTAGACATTGCTTAGTAGTTAAATGACTGCATTAGCCCTTCCTAAGAACTGACTGCACTTGTCTTGAGACCAGATTATTGCCAGCCAAATTTATTCTCTGCCAGAAATATTTATGGAGTGCCAACTTTGTGCCAGGGTCTCTTCTAGGCAATGAATGAGAATCCCGGAATCTCCTACCCTTGTGAGGTAATAACCATGTAGGAGAGTCATTTCAGGCACTGAGAATTGCTGTTGCAGTTATATGAGAGTTGATGGTGGCTTGGGTTAGACTGGTAGACATGTAAGTAGTTGGATTCAGGCTTATTTAAGAGCAGAACAGGGTTGGGCGCCTGGGTGGCTCAGTTGGTTAGGCGACTGCCTTCGGCTCAGGTCATGATCCCAGAGTCCTGGGATCGAATCCCATGTTGGGCTCCCGGCTCAGTGGGGAGCCTGCTTCTCCCTCTGACCCTATCCCGTCTCATGCTGTTTCCCTCTCTCTCTCTCAGATAAATAAATAAAATCTTAAAAAAAAAAGAGTAGAACAGGATTTACTGATTGGACAGAGGTGGTAGGGGAAAGAGAAGAATCAAAAGATTATTCCTAACAGTTGGGGAAGGCTTTATCCCAGTGGGGGAATGGAATGAGACTTGGAGATGAGCATCAAGAGTTCTTTTTTGGTTCTGATGTTATGAATATAGCTCTAGAGGTTAGGTAACCTATAAAGGTGTGGATTAGGTATTTGGATATATGAGGCTGAGGCTCAAAGGGGTTGATCTGAGTTGGAGAGAAAAATTGAGAGTCCTCATCAAAGAGATGGCTCAGAAGCCATGGTATTGGAGGGTTCCTTTTAGTAAGTAACAGTTCATTTTATTTTGTATTTATTTTTTTAAAGATTTTATTTATTTGACAGAGAGACACAGCGAGAGAGGGAACACAAGCAGGGGGAGTGGGAGAGGGAGAAGCAGAC